AAAATTAAAAAAAAAAAAAACAGTAGCCCTCTATATACAGATGGCACAGGGGCTGGGAAAGAAATCATAGAAATATTACCCTTAACAATAGATACAAAAAAAAAAACCATAAAGTATCTTAGGGTAACACATTGCAATCAAGAGAAAGACCTATATATCAAGAACTTTTGTTTCTTTAAAGAAAGAAATTAAAGAAGAAGAAGACACCAGAAAGTGGAAAGATCTCCCATGCTCTTGGATAGGTAGGATAAACATAGTAAAAATGGCAATCTTGCCAAAAGCAATATTGAGTCAGGGGAAGAACTGATGAAAGCAGAGAGAGAGAGAGAGAGAGAGAGAGAGAGAGAGAGAGAGAGAGAGAGAGAGAGAGAGAGAGAGAGAGAGAGAGAGATACCATAGTAGAGAAAGCCATTATAGGTTTGAAGAGAAAACTGACTCAAGAGAAATGTCCAGAGAGACCTACAAGGGTGACCCCAACTAACAACCTCAGCAACAGTGGAAATGCCCTTTCCTGATGATGAGATTGATAATAAAGTTAGGTGCAATCATAGAGCCCTCATCTAGTAGCTGATGGAAACAGAAGCAGACACCCACAGATACACACTGAGCCGAATTCCTGGAATCCAGCTGCAGAGCTGAGGAATTATAACAAAAGGGGTCAAGCCAGGCTACAAAAACCCACGACCCCCTGAACATGGGTCTCAGTTAGAAATCCTGGGCAGTCTAATGGCTTTTGAAAGTAGAACCAGGATGTATCCCTGGTGCACTAAAGAACTTTGGGAGCACATTCCCAATGGAGCGATGCTCCCTTAGCCTGGAGGCAGGTTGGAGGGCCTAGACCTTACTCCAAATGACTTGATGGATTTTGATGATTCTTCCTGGAAGGCATCACTCTCCCTGTGCATGGGGGTTGGGATTAGAGGAGGTTTCTGGGGGCATGGAAGGCAGGAAGGGAGAAGGAACTGGGATCAATTTAAATAAGTAAAATAATAATAATAATAATAATAATAATAATAATAATAATAATGAATACCACACTGGGTGCTATGAGATTCTTTTACTGTCATGTAATAGTGTGTTTAAATTACTACCAGATCCTTCAATTTTGGCAAAGGATTGAACTTTCCATGTTGAGCTATTTCTCCTACCATTATGTACAGTACATTATGATTTTGAACTTTCATAATTAATTAATTTGACCTGCATACCTAATTTTTTTACCCCACATGTCATGTTAAAGAAACTGGTCTTCCTTCTGTCACCTTTTTTCCTAGTCTTTCTCTGTGTCATATAACATAAAGTCAGTAACATTGTCACTTTCTTTTACATGGCTTTACTCCCATTAATTAGAATTTTTCAATCTTTAATGTTATAAATACACAAATCATAATTACATAATAAAATTAAATGACAAGAATAGAAAATGAAAATAGGCGGACTTGTAAACTCAAGTCATTCTTTCCTAGCTAGTTTTATAATGAAATTTTTATCAGTGTGTACTTTTCATAGTATCCTTTCCTTACTTGAATAATTCCAATATTACTTCTAAGCCCACAAAAGAAACAAAATAGTGTTTAATCTGAAGGCAACAATTCCACCTAGCTCAATAACTCTAATGGATACTTTAAAGAGATAATTGTACTTGACCTCTGAAAAGAATCTATATAATCGAAAACTCACTTCATAAATAATGCATTGCTTGGGAGTTTATGATTCTGTGCTCTCAGGGTTTTTAATCCTATAATTTTCTGTCTTTCCATTCTCTTTCACTGGATAATTAAACTATTTTTTTTCTAATTTTGGATACATAATTCTAGAATATTTTATTTAAAGGTATTCTGTGCATAAAGACTGTGGTTAATTTATACAGAAGCTACAGATTAGGATCTGTCTTCTTGAATCCACAAACTTCTTACTTTGTTTCCCTGTATTTTAAGTTATAAGGCAGAAATTAGTAAGGGAAAATAGATTTAATTTCAGTTTGACTAAGCAAGGAAAAGCTAGTACTTTCTCTTCACTATTTATTACAGCAATGTTACCATTTTATAAAAGATATAACAAAGTTCATGAAACTATACAACATATATTATGTTTAGATACATATATTACCATTTTATATATAAGTCATATAAAATAGTATATATCATATATTTTCTACATATTTATATATTGTTTACATATATTATATATACATATGTAATACCTTAATATATGATATATTCATAAGTCACTACAACTATGTGATCTTTGAGGCTTTATAACAATGATGGTTTTCAAAGCCAAAATATCAGGCAAAATCACTAACGTTTGTGGAAAGCTGATACCTGAAGTTGTGTCAGGAAAGCAAACTGAGGAACAATCTCTAAGAGTAACTGATAAGGAACTTGATAATATCTCTCTCATGCCAAAAAAAATGCAAAATCAAATAATGTTTGTAACTACTGAAATTTTTAAAAAATATAGAGGAAAACATAGAACAATTGATGTAGAAGCAATCACAAATACTAATGGGATCATCTGAAAATAAAATTTCTGCACATGAAAAGGAATCATACTGAGGAAAGATACAGATTGGAATGGGAAAACAAGTCTTTGCCAGCTATATATCATATGAGGTTAATAGCTAGCATATCTATCTAACTATCTATCTATACATAAAACATTTACAAATATGGAACTATAAAAATCAACATCAATTAACATTTTCAAATTGTTCAATCAATACATATGTTAATGAAGTGAACATTCTGCTTTTAAAAGATGAAATATATATATATATATATATATATGTATATATATATATATAGTGAATAAACATGCAAAATATTACATTCTAATTTTGATGCATACCAGTCAGCATGGTTGTCCATTAAGAAAAAAAAACAAATGCTGGTGCTATTACAAGGAATGTAGGAACTCTATATGGTGCTAGTGGGAATTAAAATTAATTTACATACAAAAGAAATGTATATAAACACAGCAGAAATATTGAAAAAAATGCTGCCATATCAAAACATAGTCTGTGTATATGTGCCAATGTTATTAGTTCAGAATAGCACTGAGATACTTGTAAATCCATGTGTATTACAAACATTTCAAAATCTCAAATATGTAATAACAGCCTAAATATAAAATGCATGAAAAATGAACTGATAAACAAGTGTAATGTACTTATACAATGGTGTTTTTAGAGCCATAAAGGAGAACATAATTACACTGTTTGCAGGAGCATGGATGTAATTAGCATAATATTACATGTAATGATTCAGATACAGAAAAACAAATACTATTTGTTTTCTTCCAGTTTTGGATTCAATGTTTTACATAGATGCATGAAATTATTTATGGGAAATAAATCTAGATGCAAGACTGTACAGGATACACAATGGAAATAACAGGAGGGAAGAGGAGGAAGAAGTTGGGTGAATATGATTGAAGCACATGACACTCTTCTATAAAAATATGTTTATGAAATGTGAAATAGCTATATAATGATAAATGTATAAATAAAGACAAAGTTTAATTTACAATAGTCTTTCAAATTCACAGAACTTAGTCATCAATTTTATGATTATAAATGCATTTATAATTTTTATTGTCATTTTTTTATTACAAATATTACAATAATTGTCTTAGGGTTTCTATTTCTGTAAAGAGACAGCATGACCATGGAAATACCTATAAAGAAAACCTTTTAAATGGGGATGTATTACATTTTCAGAGGTTTAGTCTATTATCTTCAAGGTGGTGGTGAGTAGGCAGGCATGGTGCTGGAGAAGGAACTGAGAGTTCAAAATCTTGATTTCCAGGCAGCAGAGGCAACTGTGTCATACTGAGCATAGCTTGATCATGAAAAGAATTAAAGTCTACCTCCATAGTTGTCACACTTCTTTCAACACGGCCATATCAACTCTGTAAGGTCACACCTCCTAATAATGCCACTCCCTATGGGCCAATCATTCAAACACTATGCAAGCCATACCTACTTAAACCACTATATCCATATAAAAATATATTAATATATTATCAATAAATATATATAACACATATATTTGTATGTTTATAATTTGTTGACAACTATATTGAGTTCTAAATTTGGTATTGTTTGCAACAACATATGATTCTTTTCCTTTTTACTTGAACAAAATTTAATTGACATTCATGTAATTCTCTCTCTCTCCATATATATAAATATATACATATATATGCATATATATGTATATAATTAATATTTGACATTTTATTTGTTTTAAAAATTTTAGATGGAATCTTGAAAACTTTTCTTTTACTTGGAAACAATCGTTTTACATATAAATTCCCCTGTTGTTCCCTCTCCCTCCCTTTCTCCCACATCCTCTACCAACTCCCCCAGCCCAACCCCACCCATTCCACAAAGATAGTGAGGCCTTCCATGGGGGATCATCAAAGTCTGCCACATCATTTGGGGGAGGGCCTAGGCCCTCCTCCGGGTATCTGGGCTGAAATAGTAACCCTTCATAGGGAATGAACTCCCAAAGTCCATTTGTGCCCTTGGGATAAATACTGGTTCCACTATTACAAGTCTTATCTTCTGCCTAGGCCTCCTAACTGGCACCTCCTAATTGGCACAAACCAATTCTAATTGAAATGGAAACTAAATATAGTTTTCTCTATGTTTATCCTTAAATTTTTATCATTGCCAACACTGTATAGTTAGTACTGAGCTGAAATCAAATTGGAAAAACATTATTGAGTATATATTGAAATTAAATGGAATGAATGATAATTGGATAAGAATGAATAACTATTATTTATTAGCCAATTATTTACTTGAAGCATGTGTACAGGTTTCCTAGAGAAACATATGCACAGGGAATTATTATTAATTTGAAACATAATTTCTAAAACTATGTTTTGTAGTATATGTGTAAAAAGCATTTAACTCATGTTGATGATAATTTTTTGTGTCAAAGTATCAAAAACATATTAAAGATTTTGACACATTTCTATTTTCTTTTCAGCAGGAAAAAAATCAAGAAAGTTCAAGAATCAAAGGTAAGAAATAACTATTAAAATAATCTTTCAAAGGTGAAAGAAAAATGATGTGATACCATTTTGAAAATACAGTTAAAATAAAGATAATTTACAATCTGCAATGTGATTCTAAAATTATTTGAACATCTGGGGCCTCTGTGTGGGCAACAAATTTCTCTGTTGAAATAACTCTTTTTATTTCTTAGGATGACCTGATGATCTCAATATAATTTTCTACTTCTCCATATGGTACAGATAAAAATCCCTGCCCAAACCATTATTCCTATTTAGCATTCTATCTCATCTATAAATTGACAAGTGACAATTTTAAAATATATCCTATAGAGAACTCAGTATCTGGCCATTTCTGTCTGACTGATTTATATGTAAAATATTGAAGATATTTATGTTTTTAAATTGGTAATAACATAGTATAAACTATCTCTAATAAGAAAAGGGAGAACTCTCTATAGATGCATTCTTAGTTTTGAAGTTTATTATTTGATACAATAAGTTACTTTTTATGTTTGTAGATTTTTAAAGAAAGGATTCTTACTGAAAAAAATGAAGGGAAATTCAAAACTTTTTAAGCTTTTTATGGCTTCTCTGGTAATGTGTTTATCTTTATTTTATATTTTGGATTTTCTGTCTACCTCCCCAATCTCTAACGTATCCTAATCCAGTTATGGAGGGGCAAAAAAAGCATACTGCTTCATTCCATACTTTTTGTGTAGGAAGAACTTTTTTTAGAGATATAAAAATTTAAATTAACAGCCATGCAACCTGGCATGTTCCACTGGCACGGTAGAAGGATAATCAACCTTCTTAGTTTCTTTACATAGTGATGCTTCTTAAAAACAAACAAAAAACAAAAACAAACAAAAAAATCCCTTTTTAATTATTAAATTATTTTATGTGCATGATTGTTTTTCTGGCATGTGTGACTATGCACTATGGATGTAGTACTAGTGTAGTACTACATGGATGACATACCCTTTGTAAGGTGTCATACCCTTTGTAACTGGAGTTACACATGGTTGTAAGCCACCAAGTGGGTGTTGGGAATCCAATCAAGTGCTCCCGAAGAGCACCCTCTGCTTTTAACTACTTAATCAACTCTCAAGGCCAATGCTGTTTAAAATAACAAGTCCAAATACATTTCTACTTAGAAATTTTTAAAACCTGTACTGTCTTATATTTTCTGTGTAAATCCACAGTAATAAGGAGTCAAAACAGTGTGTGTGTGTGTGTGTGTGTGATATTATGTTCAAATGAATTACATAAGATTGTCAACTGAGGAGTTTCCAAATTAATTAAATTAATTTTTAACTTTCAGAAGTATGAAATATTTTATATGTGAAATTATTATACATACTTAACTTTAAAACAGCAATGTTAGTTTTAAGGTGCACACCTTTGTGTAATAAATGAAAATTTCTGTTCTGAGATGTGCTGTCTGATATGTATTCAGATGACATGAGTTCCTGGCATTCTGATTGCACGTCTTCCTGCCCCTTTATATCAGGTTAATATTAAATCATATTTGTAACTCTGTTGTTGAAGCAGAAATGAGTTTAGTGAAACATTCTTCTTGATGTTTTATTATCCAAGACATATAAATCACACCATCTCAAGTAGAAATTATGTTTTGCATGCATTGTCTGAGAACATGTTTTAACAGTATAATAAAATTTTGCGATGATGCTTGCCAGCTCATCCCCTGTTCTTAGCTGGAATATTATTCAAAACTAACACACAGGATTTTTCACTGACTTGTATGTAAATGAGAAATGAATTCTGACACTGGAACTTGCTTATTTCATCTGAAAAGGACTGCCATTTCCTTGGGTATGGGAATAATGTCAACTTTCAAAGAATACCTTTTATAGTCTCAATATTAAATAATGCAAAAACAAACAACACAGCATGAAACAAAAGCTTATCACTTGCTATTAAACAATTTTGAAAAATAAATAATTTATGTTTCTTACAAGCTAATCTTTGTAACTTAGTTTAATAAATTTTATAACTAATTTTTATCCAGTAGTTTTTTGACTTCCTGATTAAAAACTAATCCCATTTATCCAAACAAATTTATTATACAGAATTAAGTTCACATGAGGGATTTAATCTAATTTCCTGCAAAGGTACTTGATTTTTCACATAACAAGATTCCAGTGATCTTCAATAAACAAATCACAATGTACACCAGTGAAACTTTATTTCTACCTTGTTCGTGTACATAGAAATAAATTTGAAATGCTTGTAAACTTATAATTATGTTACAGGTTAACATTTGTAGAATATGATCTGCTTTATAAATATTATGGGTACTAATATTTATATACATTCTAAAATTGTGTTTTTATATAATTAAACTGAGAAAACACATTCATTTAAATTTAAGTAGTTTTCATTTATAAATTTACTCTCTTTAATAAGTTAGGGGTGAATCTATAGTTAATTTCCATTTTTGCAAATTTATAAATGTTTAAGATAGTCTTTCTTGTTTGAAGTTGCATGGAAGATTACAATAAGGAATTCAAGTCAGTGCTGTAATTTTAAAGGATCAGTGCTTTAGTCAGACAATCTAAAATTCTTTCCTAGAGTTGTAATATATATTATAATATCATGTATTACGTGGAAATCCATTTTGTTTTCTAAAAATACTGTTAGAAAAATTCATTTTGAAGATTATTTCTAAAATAACACAAAAAATCATTAAAATAGGCAATTATTTCACTGAGGAGTACTTCATTTTGTTATTAATTTGCTCAGGAAGAGCTTTGGATAACTTTATTATGATAAATATCCATTCTCCAAAACATTGTGTTTCCCAGTATGTTCTCTGTTATTTGCTTCCTTGGTTACAAGAAAAAGTAATCTCAACCACACACCTGAAGGATTTATTTTGGCTACTGTTGGATGGTACACAGATCACTGTTAGGAAGGCATGGTGAATAAATTGTAATCCCAGTTGAGAAGTAGAGAGAAATTAACGTTGATACACACTTGCTTCCACCCAGGCCCATGGGACAGTAATGTGTCCTACCCTTCACATTATGTGCAAAAACTTAAAGCTTATGTGATCCTACATCATGTCAAGCTGAGAAATACTGATACTTATGAAAAATACGAAAAGAGAGCATAATAGTATTGAAAATGTTTAGGAAATAACACAATAACTAATTATACATTCTCAGTAATTTAGTGTTTCATATGAAGGAAATGGAAGATTTGGGTACTTAAGTCAGAATTCTTATGATTCAATACATTTTAAACCATACACTCTCATATCAATATTAGCTTTTCCTTTAAAGTAGCTTTTAGTATGAAATTTTATTCTTTTTTCTTTATTCTTTTTTTCTTATTTTACATATAGATCCAAGTTCCCTCTCCTTCCCATACACCCTGACCACACTCCTATCCCACCCACCCCCCACTCCACAGGGAGGGTGATGACTTCCAGGAGGGGTCACCAAAATCTGTCAAGTCATTTGGAGTAGGGACTAGGCACTTCCTCCTGCCTCTAGATTAAGGGAGTATCCCTCCATGGGGAAAGTGTTCTCAAAGTCCTTTTGTGCACCAGGGATGCATCCTGGTTCCACTGTCAGAGATACTTTAGACTGCCCAGGCTTTCTGAGATCCATGTTCAGGAGATCTGAGTCAGTCCAATGCTTGTATCCCAGCTATCAATCTGGGAGCCCATTAGCTGTTCCTTGTTCAGGTCAGCTGTCTCTGTGGGTTTCTGTAGCATTGTCTTGACCCCTTTGTTATTACTCCTCCCTCTCTGCAACTGGATTCCAGGAGTTTGGCTCAGTGTCTACCTGTGGGTGTCTGCTTCTCTTTCCATCACCTACTAATGAAGGCTCTATGATGGCATATAAGTTAGTTATCATTCTCATTATCAGTAAAGGATATATAAGTTAGACTTTCCATTGTTGCTCAGGTTGTTAGTTGGGGTCACCCTTGTATGTGTCTGGACATTTCTCTAGAGTCAGTTTTCTCTTCAAATCTATAATGGCTCCTTCTATTATGGTATCTCTTTTTTATTCATTCTCATCTATTCTTCCCCCCCCCCCCGACACAATCTTTCTGGTCCCACATATTTTCCTCTCCTTACCTTCTCTTGCTCATAACTCCCTCTCCACTCACTGTCCCTCACACTCTCAGGAGCTCTTGTTCCTTTCCCCTTCTGTGAGGGACCTTGTATGAATTTCTTAGGTTCATCCTTGTATCCTTGTTCCTATGGCAGTGTGTATTATAAGCTGGTGATCCTTTAAGAAACATGAAAAGTAACTTCCAGCAGAGATTTTATTTTAAACACTTTACATTATATGTCCATTTCTTCACATATTTCAATAAGAAAACTGAACTATATTTGATATTGTATACATTTATTGTGAAGAAATCATTTCTCTTGCAAGGAATGCTTTCATGACAGAGTATTTCCTGAAATGGCCATGTTGGTTTTGTACAAGAGTTCCTGTTTTATAGGTCAAAGAAAAAACTTTATGGTCCATTACCTATTTTGCTTTCCTTTTTTGCTTTGACCCTTCAGGCACATTACATGACATTTTACTTGTTAAAAGGAGTACATTATTTGTTATTTTGGAATATGTATCTGCTCTTTTATCGAAGAACTAAACCTTCAATATCATCCATTTTAAATGTTTTTTTTTGAGGTTTTTGAGGTATCTGAGCTTCTTTGAATTAAAGAGAATTACATGTCATACTGAAGCCTGATATAATATTTATTTATTTTTATCTCCACTGTTAATTAAATATCTTTTGTCCAAATATGGCAACTTAGGTAATTCATGATGCAGTTTGTCAAAAATGTAACAATTCTCCTTTAAAAATAATGATACATTGCTATTTCATGTGAATATTTTAAAGTCTTACATAGTATGAATAGGAAATTTCTTAATAATTAGACAATAACTTTCAAAAATTATTGGTACATAAATCTTCATGCAAAAGGACAATATAGATGTAGTTCATATATATATCATACCATT